ATTTGGAACGACGCTACATGCCCACAAACGCCATTGATTGTATGTATACCAATGCTTGTACATATAAATCCAGGCGTCAATTAATAGCCTGGCGTGGCAGTATTTGTAAGCTTCTCTGGCAGCACTCTGGTGGATTTCATTGGCAGTTTCGTATCGATTACCTACAATAAATATAGAGCGATATAACATTTAAGTAAGAGCATGAATTTAAGCATCGACAGCTATAATCCACTTAAAAATATATAAGTGTTGGATACTACTATTAGGTATCAATAGGTGTCTGTTGTAGTGCTTTCTTATGAGATCGATGATAGCATCTCGATCTTCTTTTCTGCATATGACACCTCTACAACCACTAATTGATGGAGTCAAATCGTCACCAATGAAACTAAACTCGGTTCTTGCTACAGGGACATCGCATGCCAGAATACTGGCAGATTTATTCTCGCCTAATTTTTGGCTTATGCTCTTGGCAATATGCCAGATGCAGAGTCGTAAATAACTCTCGCCAAAGACTTGCTGAACGGCATTGATCTAAGATCTATCTTTTTCGGAAAACACAAAACCCGGGTTTCATCTGAAATCTTTTAGTCTTCGTAAGAATGCTGCCAGCATATTGGTTCTTGTGAGTTCTGGTGCTCCTTCGAACGAAGTATAGACTAGATATCCGATGGAGTATCCAATACCATCGGTCATTGCTACGATGCCAAACAACTCGCAGCCTGCACGATTGGTTTTCAATGTCGAATCAATGTAATACTCTTCAACGTATTGGCATGATGCCAATTGTTATAAAAAATGGAGTAATGAATCCAATAGCAACAGCATGTTCATCTCATCTCCAATACATCTAATTTTCATTTAAGTGTATAAGATTCTATATGCCACATTTGATTCTAACTATCTATAGCTTTTAAAGCAAAGAGAAGGTTGATGGTTAGTAATATTCATAACACATACCTCCACAAAACCAATGTTGTTGTATCTTCGGAGAAGTAGGCAACTTGAAATCATTTAGTCGTCATACAAGTGGTATACTGACTGGAATCCTACTGACCACTAGTAATACACCTGCATGGTCGGATAACCTTACATTTATTTAAAAATCATAATTTTAGACTAATAAAAACAATTTATTTATATTTAGATAAAAAAATAAAAGAAACATTTTCATCAGATCATTTCCTTTATCTTAGTATAAACAATGATTTCTATATACATAAGCTTAAAAAAGGAAAGAATGAAGGTAAATTTGTTCATGTAAAATTAAAACTAATATACCAGAAGGTAAGAAAGATTTTTTATGCTCTAAACATAGTAAACTACATATTCCAAAAAAACGTTTAGTAGTTAATAATAGTAAAGATATAAAAATAAAAAAGATACCTGTAAAAAATGAAAAGAAAATAAAAAAAAAGAAAACCTATAACATTAAATATAGATAATCCTTTTTTTCTATGCTTTAATAATATTCTTCCATAAAATTTATATATAATTCTAATAAATACTGTACTCTTTTACAATATGCCTAGACTATATTCTTCAATATATGCTTTTAATAAATCTTTTTGATTAAACATATCAATATATGATGCAGTTGAATGCTGTTTTACTTTTACATTCCTTCTTCTTTTTCTAGTACATTCATTAAAATTAGGTACATTATTTTCACTTTCATTATTTTCTGAATTATTAGATTCATTATCATTTACAACCATTATATTATCTGATATAGCTATGTTTAATAAATTATTTTGTAACTATATAATCTATTTGCTCCATTTTTTATTTATATTATAAAATTCAATTTAGATATAAAAAATTAGTAGTTCTTTAATAAAACAAATATTAATTTATAACTAATAAGGTAATGCAGTACCCACTTTGGAGACTGGTTGTTATATTAAAAACTATAAAAAAACTAACAACTGATAATTTAATTTCTGATTATAAATAAGAAAAAAACTAAATATTATATATAAATCTATCTTATTAAAATAATAAAAGTTATGTATTACACAAAAAAGGAAATATGTGTTCCTCTGCCAGATATTTTATCCTCTCTTCTGCGGAGGTGTGTATAAATTGCTTGCTACACAACACGTTTTTTCTTTTCTTTTTTTTATTTCAGTAATTTAGCGATCTAAATTGAACATGGCAGCAACAACAACAAACAAGTATCCGCCACGCCCTACAGATGAAGAGATCTGGGCAAAAGTACTCACTACGAGTCTATACGTGAGGCCTACCCCACTGGAATCAAGCACCTCGCATTCAGCTACAAGACTCTGTATATAGAACCAAATGCGTGTATGGGTGAAATCGACGAAGCATTTGCAGAATTTCACCAGAAGAAACAGTACGCTATGGAGAAAACCAAGAAATAGTTTTTTTTGTTATAATAAACTTTAGTTTGTCATATTTATGCCTTAAGTAAACGAGCGAAGCGAGTGAGTTCGGGTTTAGAAGGAAGTGTGGTTGGGGGGTACACCCCAACGGGAGGGCTCGCGGGGGAGAACGTCCTACAAAAGTTTTTTTTTTTTGATCCCAACGCAGTAATAGTCAAACGTTCTTTTACTTTTAACTCTCTGACATGTCAACACCCATTTGTAACTCTTGCGGTTTGCCGGGCCACCAACGCGTAACTCATCGTGATTGCCTAAACAATCTAATATTAATATATTAATTATCAGTTGCTATAACAATTAATGAAGATATCATTTCTATAAAAATTATGCCAAAATAAGCTTATAGTGTATTGATGATATATTGATTTTTTTACCTAACCTACCAACAAGGAATTTTACTAAGTGACTGTCAATTTTGAGCAAAAAAATAAAGATTGTATAAAGATATATAATTTGCAATTGCAAATTATAAAAATGAATATATTTTATTTTTTTAAAAAAAAGGTGTATCAATTATTCTAGTACTAAAAAAATTTTAATTTGTTGCTAGGTGATAATTATTTATAAAAATTTTACAAATTAAGTATTATTTGATGTTGATTAGCATATTTTTTTAACATTTCCTTTTGTTTGAAATTACTAATAGGAATATAGCTATTATATTCATCATTATAATCTTTCTATTTAATCAAAAACTGATATTCATTATTAATTATTTGATGTCCAAGAATTTTTTCTATTTCATATCTTGTTTTATCATTATTTCGTAGAATATTTATATCAGTAACATTATTTTTACCCTTATTTCTTTTTCTTTTATTTCTATTATATTCTTTTGGAACATCTAATTCTGAATCAGATTTATTTTTATCAATTTCCATATCATCATCACTAATATTATAAATAGGTATATTCTCATCTAATTCCATTGATAATAATTTCTGTTGTAATTCTTCAAGTCTTTTTGTTTTTTCTTTAACTTTTATTTCATTAGATATAACTATATCTATCATTTTTTCTTCAGTTGGAAAATTAAAATTTTCAGTTTCCCATAACTTATGATGTGGTTGAATATTTATATCAAAATCATCAACAAATTTCTGAATATTTTTTAATAAACAAGCTACTTTAAATTGTAAATTGTAATGTTTTATATCATACATTTTTGTAGCTCTATGATTATTATTAAATCTAGTAAATTTACTACCTAAAACTAAAAATTGATTTTCTATTATTGATCTAAAGCTTCCAAAAACATCATTATAATATGTTTCATGATAATTTAAATTGATACTAATTTCTTTTCTAATCGGATAAATAAAACTATCATCTGAATATGTTTTTCCTTTTTCTTCTGCAATCTTATAAAATTGTTTTAAAAATAATAGATATCCTCCATCCATAGCTAAACAATCTGCAATATGTATTTTATTATATAGTTTCATATTTAAAGACATATTACCATCTGAACTTTCACTAAAAAATTCGCTTTTCGATACCCATAAAATCATTTCATTCATATCACAAATAATTTGTGTTCTACATCTAGGTTTTTTTAATTTATAAGAATATAATTTCTCACTTTTAATATCTATATTAACATAATTTATTTTAGAATCATGACCATCTATAACTAATGTTATATGCTTAAATAGTTTAGGATTTCTTTTTAATGAACTAAAAATTCTTAATTTTGGAGAAGAAAACATTTTTGATAAGAATTCATCAACTTTTCTATTTAATATTTTATAATTATCTATCTAGAACTTTTCATAAACAGCATAAAAAGATGAATATTTCATATATCTACTCATATATTGACCAGATTCAATATATACTAAATGGTATAATAGTACTAATCCTTTTTCTAATTCATTATATGGTCCAGGATATTCACAATTTCTATAAAGAATGTTTAAAAAAAAGAATACAGCTATATATCCTATTTTATTTTTTAATTCAACTTTAATTTTATCAATTAAATCAACTTTTTTTATTTCTGTTCTATGTTTATATTTATTATGTATAATTGGCCAATTATTATTTAAAAATTGCTATTCATTAATAATAATTTTATTAACTTCATGATTAATATTATCATTATATGTATCGTCCCTTTAAATAAATATATTCTATATATAGATTATATTCAATTTTACTTAAAATCTGTTTTTAATATAAAGTTTATAAGATTATATATATATTAACAATTCAACTAAGTATTATGCTTATCAACTAATCCCCTTTATGAAAATTATTTTGGTTATACTAGCTTATTGTGGCTATTCGTCCAATTCGTACTTATAAACCAGAGCATAGGGGGGTAAACCCTAGTTTTATGTTTCTAGTAGAATTATAAATATGTAAAAAATTATAAGTGACCCGTAATAAATTTAAGACACAGAAAATGACCTTTATTTGATATGTTAGAATATTGGACTAGATTGTTAAGTTGGATAAGATATACTCACCAGTACTACAGACTGGTCAAAGTTACAGATAAATGTGTGATATCAAGAGTAAAGAAAAAGGGTAAAGAATGATGAATAACAATGAAGTGGTAGAAATAGGGAATAGCAAAAGTCATGTGTACTACTGAAATGCAGAGTTACGGAGATACTAAAAACATCATTTTATCCCACTACGCATCATCATCCCCCACTCTGTTTGCTGCCGACCCGATCGTCACCTTCAATTGGCGGTCGTAGTAGGCACGCAATGTGTCTTCATTAACCCTTCTCTTGAGTAGGCGGCCTGATTCATTGGTAAGTAAATAAGTTCTATTTGCAAATGCTGCCACCACCAAGAATTGCTCAGGTGTGTACTTGTGGTCGAGCTTGCCTTTATGGACTGCCTTGATTCGCAAAACATGTGAACTAGGTTTGAATTTTGCTTGGAAATCTTGAACGAGTGATGGCTCCGGACAATCGATGAGTTCATCAGCCTTTACGTTTCGATTCACCAACTTGCAAAGGCGTTGATGACCCAATGTAGACCCAAAAGCTGCCATAATGTCCTTGCCGTTGTCGCCTAGTGCTTGGCCGAACATCAATTCGAACGGCGTGATCTTGAGGGTTTCGTGGGATTTCGTACGATAGGAATACAAAACAGCAGGTAACATAGATTCCCATGTATCCGGATGGACTCGTACCAATTTCTGTATAGCTTGCATAATGGTTCCTCCCATTTTTTCGTTCTTTCTGTTTGTTTGAGGATGTAGCGGCGCAATATAACGATGATGAGTTTGCAATTTCTTGAGAAACAATTCAATGCCTTGAGAAACAAAATGGGTGCCATTATCCGAGAGAAGATGGGTACTGGGACCGAACATGCTGAAGACATGGTCATAAAGAAAGTCGGCCACCGTTATTGCATCGGCCTTTTCGGTCGCAATCGCCACACGCCAGCATGTAAAATGTTCTACCGCCAGTAGTACATATTTTTTCCCTGTTGGAGAAGGAGGTGTAATTGGACCCATGTAGTCAATTGAAAACTGTTCAAAAAGGTGCGTCACCGGAACGCGTCCTGGGGCATACCGCCTTGGTAGGTTTGAAAACAATTGGCAATCTTTGCACGACTTGATATAATGACACATGTCGTTATATGCGCTTGGCCACCAAAAAGAGGCAAAAAGTCGAGCCCAGGTACCATATATTCCATAGTGTCCATGACCATCATGCAACATTTCAAGAACAGCATCGCGTTCATCAACATGTGGAATCTTGACCCAGCGATCACCAACAGCTCCGTACAAATGCTCGTTTACCATCTTGAATCTTTTCGCCTTATGCTTGAACGCCTTGGAGAACGACTGGTTCGTTGGTGCGGCAAGATAATAGCAGATTTCCTACAGATCGGGCTCGTACCACGTTTCCATGATCAAGAAGTTGTGGTCGTATAAGTCCTCCAGATTGTCTTCGCCACTTGGTTCTCCTGGTACTTCCGCCGGTGGATATCGCGAAAGGGCATCCGCCGCATTGTTCATTTTTCCAGGAATATGTCTCGTTTTGAAGCGAAATTCTTGACACGCCAGAACCCAACGTTGTAGTCTCATGCTACTGTTGTTATCGACACCCTTAGAGAACAAGAAACGCACTGCCGAATTGTCGGTCCAAATTGTAAACACTTTATCGAGTAGGTACTTGCGCAGCTTGTGCAGTGAGTAAACAATTGCAAGCAACTCCTTCTCAACTGTGGCATATCGCACTTCGGCTGGTTGAAGCTTGCGAGATAGGAAACATATTGGCTGCAGAGAACCATCGGATTGTACCTGAGCAAGCACTGCACCAATGCCAATATCCGAAGCATCGCAGTACAGGTGGTATAGTTTAGATGGATCCAGGAAGGACAACAAGGAGCTTTTCGCCAAAGCCTTCTTCGTATCCAGAAAAGCTTGTTCCGTCGTATCATCCCAAACGAACGACTGATTCTTCTTCGTCAAAGCAACCAAAGGAGCAGTAATCATCGCAAAATTCTGAACATGTCGTCGAAGAAAGCCGCATAGTCCCAAGAAAGCTCGCACCGCAGTAGGGTTTGTAGGCCTTGGATAGTCTTGAATACGTGACAAATGATTGTCACTAGGATGAATACCTTGGGGACTGACGACAAATCCAAGTACTTCGACCGATTCACGCATGAAATTTGCTTTCTTGGCGTTGATTCGCATATTTACTTCTTCCAATCGCTGAAAAACTTGACGCAAGTGATCGAGATGCGAGTCCAAATCAGGGGAATATACAGTAATGTCATCAATGAATGCCTCGACAAACCTTCCCAAGAAAGGTTGCATAGCCAAAAAGATAGCGCGAGACCATGCGTGCGGACCATTGACTACTCCAAACGGGAGTACGGTATATGAGTAGTTGCCAAAAGGGGTCGCGATGGTCAACTTGTTTCTTGATATTTCGTCGCACTTGATTTGATTGAACCCCTTGAGAAGATCGATGGTAGTATACACCTTGGTACCACTTTTTCCCAGTTGTTCGACCAAAGAGGTAATATCCGGCAGAGGCCAGGTGTCACGCGCCGTCACCTTGTTCAATGATTGAAACTGCGTCACCAAGCGCAATTCATTGTTCTTTTTACGTACATAACGACAAGGGAAGCTCCATCCTCCCATATGAGCGTTATTGCGATCATGGGTGGTTGGAACCAAAATGCCGTTCGAGACCATACTTTCAAGTTCTTGTTTTAGGTGTTCCAGCTCTGAATGTGACATACGCGGATTCGGACGATGATAGATAGGCTTTGCATCGCCGGTGTCAATATGGAAGGTTTAAAAAATTTGTTTGGGCCAGATGCTTGTATGAAGTGCCAAAGATGTGCTTGTAGTCTTGGACTAACTGTATGAGTTGATCTTTGATGACTGGATTCAAATCACTTCTTGCCTGAATTTCCTCGGGCAGATCGCCAAGACGGTCGTCGATAGAGCTCTCACGCCAGAGCTCCTCGTCCTGTGATTCCTTTTGGACCGAAACCATTAACAGCATATCTTGTACATCGTCGCATTCAGATTCGTCTGCAGAATCAGTATCGTGTTCTTGTGGCATTGGTTTATCCTTGGTTGGGATTGCGGTATATTCAACGTCCATTGGCCGAAGTCCATTGGGTGTATAGACCGACCACCGGTGGTATTTCCAATCGGTAACGACTTGAAGATCGTGAAGAGCATGTCTTCCAAGAAGCAAATCATAGCTTGTCACATCCAAGCAAAGAGCACTAAAATTCTTTGCTGGTGAGTCACCAATAGAGATGGACAAACTAGGGACGCGACCAACAGGCGACGCATAATGACCGTCACCAAGTTGCAATGGACGATTGACCTGGTCGATTTCTTCGATTCCCAATTTCTTGATGAGGTTCAGACTTGCAATCACCGAGGTACAACCACCGTCCAGGATTATACGTAGCGGCTGCCCGTTCACTTTACCCTAAGTATGGGGGGCGCTATCGCCTTCAGGCAAATGATTGGTCTGAGTAGTTTCTTCTTTGTCCTCCTCGAGCAAGTGCATAGATTGGGGTTGTGGTGCCTTGCGATGATGCTTCGTCAAAACGCCCTTGATTTGCGTTCGCAATTGTGGAGACAAATCGGCCAATTGCGCCAATGAGACATGAAACACTTGACGCTCGATCAAGCTGCCTGCATCCAAGGGGGACTCGGTCAGATGCACAGCAGATGCTTTCGGCGCGTTGGGAGCATCTCTAGCTGGAACATCTGACACCTTAATCTTCTGCCGTGGTGGTTGCGTAGATGCACTTCCTTGATGCTCGTTGCTCTTCCTTTTGATGGCGTAGAAGTCTTCCTTTTCGGCAATACTGCTTTCATGCGTCGACGTAATTAACAAAGCGGATGAGGAGGCTTGATTTCTTTTTGGATACTTTTCGCATTGAAAATGGGAATGCGAGCCTCTGCAATACTTGCATGGGTTTGGGCAATGGGCTGCAATGTGGTCAGGCGCCTGACAATTATAGCATACGCGTGTATTCGATGACTTGTGGTGCGCCTTCGACGAGGGTTTCTTGTTATCACCAGGTCCATCAGGCGATGCTTGCTTGGATCCGTTCATCTTGTCGATGGCAGTTGTCATACGATTAACACCTTGGATTAATAGTTCGATGGAATCAGAGCAGCCTTCTTTCGTTCGTGTCTTGTTATAGTCACTACTCGACAACTTGACCGTTCGCCTAGACGAGCACGTTTTTGTTTTGAGGCAATCGTTGTCGGATGAAATGAAGTCATCCGAGTCAGTGTCGTGATCGTGATATTGTCCGTAGCTGGCTCGTTTTGCAATTTCTGCTGCAGCCTCAACGTCCTGTGGGGCAGCAGATGACACATACAGACGTAAACTGTCAGGCATGAGACCGCGGACAAACATCCCGACGAAAGCTTCAGGCGTGATGGTGACCACTGGTTCTGGTACAAAAGTGTTTCGTGTTTCACCCTCGTTACTTGCAGGAACGCGTGACTTTTCGGCAGCTTCCACCTCCCGTTCGGTTATGCCGCGTTCGTAACGCATCTTCAATTCGTCAAATCGATGGACATAGTCACGCAATCTGGCGTATCGTTTCTCCATGTGCAACGCCCAGAGTTTTTCCACAGTACGGGTGAGGTCAACGCGTTTACAATACTTTTCCTTGAATGCTGGTACAAATTGCCTCCATGTTGTATAGCCTTTATGGAGTGCCCAGGTTGACATTTCTTGGGGCATGCTGGTCAAAGCATAAGCTAACTTTTGGGAGTCGCTCCAATTATTAGCCTCCGCAAGAGAGCTGAAGAGTAAAAGCCACGTTTTTGCTTCACTCTTCTTCTTGAGTTTCGGGGGTCTGACGTTCGCCATTCTCGAAGATGTCGTATCAGAGTCCGAGGATGAATGCAAAGATTTAGTATCGCTTGAGGGCGTACTGCTTTGGTTGGAAGGCGGCATAAACGACTGTTGTGGCTTCCGATCGGCTTGACGATAAATTGCAGTGCCCTCCCTCTAGTGAGCACCAAAAGATGACCCGTAATAAATTTAAGACACAGAAAATGACCTTTATTTGATATGTTAGAATATTGGAATGGATTGTTAAGTTGGATAAGATATACTCACCAGTACTACAGACTGGTCAAAGTTACAGATAAATGTGTGATATCAAGAGTAAAGAAAAAGGGTAAAGAATGATGAATAACAATGAAGTGGTAGAAATAGGGAATAGCAAAAGTCATGTGTACTACTGAAATGCAGAGTTACGGAGATACTAAAAACATCATTTTATCCCACTACGCATCATAAGTAATATAATTTTTAAGTATTTACTAGCGGTCCTTCCTCGCTTCGCTCGGATGAATGAGCCCCTCTGCTTCGCTCCGTGTCATTCAACGGAAACACGTCGCAAGGGGGTTCCCCCCTTGACCCCCAAGTAGGGGCAAGCCCCCCAAACCCCCCTGTCAAGCGAGGTTGGATCAATGTTTTGGTCTTAGATGCTTATTGTCTGTTTTCAAAAACAAAAGCAAGATCATTATGCAGTGCGAAGTAGTCTATCATAGAAAGTCGTCAAAGTTGGATACTTAACTATCTCCAGTTTAGAATGCAATGCGAAAAGAAGTGTTGACAAAGATGATGTAGTGATATTGATAAAAAGAGAATAGGCGAGAAAAAAAGAGAATAGGCAATATAAAAAAAAGAATAGGCGATGTAGAAAAAGAGAATGGGCGATGTAAAAATAGAGTAGGTGACAAAAAGAATTATAGAAGAACTTCATGAAAAACAACATTTCTTGTGCTTTGGCCTTACTGACCCGCGATACGTGAGTTCTCAGGATCTAACATGATTCTGATGGATGAAGGGGTGCGGACGCGCGACATGGCTACATAGAGTAGACCATGCGTGAACGGAGGTTCAGGCAAGTAGAGGCCGACAGTGTTGAAAGTTTGACCCTGTGCCTTATTGATGGTCATAGCGAATGCCAGGCGAACAGAGAATTGGGTGCGTTTGAAGAGAATGGGCGAGCGTGTTTGCGATAGTGTGAGTGTTATGCGAGGGATTAAGACAATGTTGCCAGCATGAGGTCCAGTGGCTATTTCAGCTTCAAGTACATATCTTTGAAAAGAGCGTACAATCAGCCGTGTCCTGTTGCAGAGACCACTTTGGGTATGCAAGTTTCTCAAAAGCATAATTGGGCAACCGACTTTGAGTTTTAGCAAGTGTGGTGGGAGGTCGGATGGATTTATGGAATTGAGCAGCTCTGGTGGGTATGTGATTTGATCCTCTGGATCATCCACAGTATCTGCGCTCGGGAATTCGTGGATAGTGCCTG